TTTTTGGTACCGGGGATCCAACTCAGGTTCTTGCGCTTGCACAGCAGGCAGCGAAACCACTGAGCTAAATCCCCAGAGTGCAAGAACCCAAGTTCGATCCCCCGGTACCAAAAAAAAAAAAATTTTGAAACAGGGTCTTGCTATGTAGTTCAGGCTGGCCTCAAGCTCATAATGTAGCCCAAGTAGTGATCCTCCTGTGTCATCCTCCAGAGTACTAGATTACCAGAGGCCTAGGAAACCAGACTCAAATGTCACATCCACACTGGGGACCTGAGTGTCCTCCAAAACCTTTTATGTGGGGGAAATGAAGTCAGAACTGGGTGTAGTGGTGCATGCCTGTGGTCCCAGCACTCTGGGAGGCTGAGACAGGAGGATCATAAATTTGAGTTCAACTGGGGCAATTTAGCAACTCAGTGAGACCCTGTTCCAAAATAAAATCCAAAAAAGGGTTGGAGGGGAGCTCAGTGTAAAGGCCCCGGGTTCAAGCCCCAGCAGGGGAGAAAAAAAAACAAACACAACTAAGGGTTTAAGTGCGATAAGCAGGCATTGGATTTTAGACCTTTGTGATACACAGTTTGTCTTTCCGAAGTTAATCTTTTCCGGAGGCAGAAGTGACAGGGTCTCATACTATAGTCCAGTCTGGCCTTGAACTCACTATGTAACCTGGACTGTCCTTGAACTCAAAGCTATCCTCCTGTTTCAGCCTCCTGAGTGCTGGGATAAATGGCCTTCGGAGGGCAGTGACGTGCCCCCCCTTTTTTTGTGTGTGCTGGAGATTGAACTCAGGACCTTGAACTTGCAAGGCAGGTGGCGGCACCACTGAGCTAAATCCCCCAGCCCTTTAACTCTGGGAGAACGAAGATAGCAACATTCTCTTCCTCCTCAGGGTGTAACTAACTCTATTCCACCTCACAGTGCTGTTGAAGGAAGTCTCTCCTACCCCATTGTTAGGAAGATCCTGGGCTGAGGGTACGAGCCACCTGCTGCAATAAAACATTGCAACTCCAGGAAGTCAACAGGAAATTCAGCCAAACAAAAAGCGCACAACTGGGCACCAGGAACGCTGACTCTGGCCCGACCTGCGACAAGGAGAGTCCCAGAGAAGGTCTCCTTTAACTTTGGGCGCGCTCCCCTTTCTGTCCTGGGTGGGAGCCTTTGGGGCTCTCTCCAGCCAGCAGCGTCTGTCCCCTTGGCTGCCCGACCCCGGCTGCATGGTTTACCAGGGTGCTCCCTTTATGGTCAGAGAATGGCTTTTCTTATTTCATAACA